GGCACATACGCAAACATACGGGTGAGCGTCCATTTTCGTGCAATTGGCCAAATTGTGACAAGAAATTTACCGATTCTTGGAAACAAAAGGATCACATATTGACCCACAAACGCAAACTCATGTCTATTCCCGCAAACACTCCCATCGGTAACAAAAGTGACGGCAATTTGAAACAATTTGTTGAAATGCTTAACACAAACACTAATATATGTGAACCCATCGACTGTGAGAGTGAACTGAAAGCCAAACAACAGTTGGAAGACACCAATGGAAGGGATGGAGAGATGAACTCCGATCTAAATATGTTTGTACCGGAAGTAATAGTTAGTGAAATGGACTTAAGTGGTGATAATGTGCCGAATGTGTGTCCAGAGGAGGCGTTTGTGGGACGATGTGTTACGGCGAGCGGAAAGGAGTGGTTCCGGTGTAAAGCTGTCAACTGTAACTACGGAACTCCTAAAAGCCTGTATCTTATACGACATATACGTTCAGTTCACGGCCAGAGAGTGACTGAACGGCAGTTCGGGTGCGAATGGCCCGACTGTTCCAAGAGGTTCACCGACGCCTACAAACTAAAAGAGCATCAATTGACACATTATAGGAAATTCATAACAACTGTTGGCAACAATAATAAGAATTCAATGGATTTAATTTTTGATCTCAACAGTAAAAGTGATGAAAAAATTGATAATAAGATAATCATCAGTGAAGTGAACAATTCAGTGCAAACCAATGGCTTGACAAACAGTCCCAATGGTATGAATAAGTCGTTAAACAGAATGACATTCAATGTGAGTGACGAACAAACGACACAAATCTTGAGCCCGAAGAAGGTTGTGATGTCCATCAAGAATGTGGAACAGTATGTCGAGCGGCGCAAAGTCGATGGTCTGACCCGTTATTTCTGCCAATGGCCTAACTGTTCGTATTCTAGTAATAAAAGCAATCATTTGGTAAGACATATATGCAGTCATACCAACGAACGCAACCATTGCTGTGATTTCATCGGTTGCGGCAAAAAGTTTACTGACATTTGGAAACTTAGAGACCATAAGATGTGCCACAACTTGAATGTGTCGATCGTCAACACCAGTCCCGCGGCCGACAACTCCAAGAGAGCGACGAATCAAACCATGTATTCGCCGAATCCTAATAGACTACTCATAGAGAGTCTATGTTCGCCACCCCTTCCACTCCTCTCCACACTTCCTTTAAATTATAATAAAATGAGTGTTAAGTCCAAAAGTCCAGTCGATGTCGTGATGTCCATCAAGAATGTTGAGCAATACGTTGAGCGCCGAAAAGTGAACGGAATTACATTTTATTTCTGCAAATGGCAGGACTGTAGCTATGGATCAAATAAAAGCAATCATTTGGTGCGACACGTGCGCTCCCATACCGGTGAACGTATGTATTGAAAATGTCTAAACAAATTGACTTTCAAATTAAACGCTATTATGTCTGTATTGTAGGTCCGTATGAATGCGATGAATGCGAGAAAAAATTTACCGATTCCTGGAAACTAAAGGATCACAAATCGATTCACGCGAAGAAACATTTGGAAAAATCTATTAACGAACAGAATTTGGCGTTTTTTAATTTATTTAATGGCAATCAAAGCGATTTGCAAATTAGTTTAACAGAGAATTTATTTCAAATGCCATTCAATTTAAATATAAAACAAGAAAATTCATTAAATGAGAAATCGATTAATTTCTTGGATAATATGCCATTAAATGAGATGCCTATCGATAACCAAGATTTTGAGCGTTCAATGGATCAGTTAGAAGACGACGAGTTCAACGATATGGACGAAATTGATCTGTTTGTGCCTCAAGTAATCATCGATGAATCGGACGATACGTTCGTTAATCTGAATAACGACTCGCAAGAAGAAGAGCCAAAAGTGGACGACTCGATGGAGGATTCAAATTATGGTATTTTGTCGATTAAAAATGTGGAACAATATATCGATAAAGTGGTTCGAGAGGACGGAAATTGGTATGAATGCAAATGGAGTGCATGTGCTTTCACTACACAGAAAAGCAGTTACGCTGTCATTCATGTGTACAAACATTTAGGACAAAGTAAGCGCTCAATGATATAACAGATGAACAATTGATTTTAATTAATTGTTTATGTGTTTAGAGCCATACAAATGTAAATGGAGTGATTGTGGCGCCAAATACAACAAAAAACAAAATTTAACCATTCATATGATGTCCCATACGGGCGAAGAGGTGTTCAAATGCCAATATCCGCACTGCTATTACACGGGCATCAGTGCCGAGGCTTTGACAAGTCATACACTCAAACATAACGGCGAGAAACTGTTTCACTGCGGTTGGAATGAATGCAGCGCTCAGTTCGCCACCAGTATTGAGCTGTTAAGGCATTCCAAGACTCACACCGGTGTCCGACTCTATAAATGCCATTTCCCTAACTGTACGTATGTATCGAAATATAACAACAAACTAACCATTCATGTGAGACGACACACCAATACTCGTCCCTTTAAGTGTGAAGT